TCTCCAAGATCTGCTCTGTTAACACCCAGCTCCCCCTCCACACCCAGCTGAGCCCTTCGTGCTGCCGGGCTTTTCTGGGGTTTTTTTTGTTCTGTTGGCTGTAAGCGCTCCAATTTCTCTCTCGGGTTTTAATTACCAATCTGCAGCCAACAAATCCAGAACTGGAGGAGAACTCAGAGGGTTTGTAGCTCAGGAACCGACTCAGAAAGAGCAGCACCAGCACCTTTCTTTTACTTTTCAAGCCTGGTCTGTGCCTTGCTGTGTGCAGCAACGTGGCAGGAGTTTTGCTGCCCTGAAATTTGATTTCTCCACCAGGACCAGGAGCGGTGCTGCCCCCAGCCCGTGCAGGGTGACGCTTTTTCCATCTTCCCTCACTTTTTGGTGTCTCCTTTTCCTCCTGCCAGGAGTTCAGCCTGATCGACAGGCGCGAGCTGGCTCCTCTGCACGAGCTGATTGAGAAGTTGGGCTCCAAGGACAGATAAAACCCCCCCGGGAGGACCCTTCTGGCTGCTCCTTTTCCGCTTCTTCTTCAGCCGGCAGCGAGCGGCCTCAGCGCTGCTCTGCAGCCCCCGCTGGGCTCTCCTTGCCCTGGGCTGGCCGCAGGTGGAGCAGGTTCTGCCCTGCTCTGGATGTTCCAGGTGCTGCCTGGCCGCTTTCTGCTCCCAGAGCTCCTCTCTGGACTCTCCAGCCCGAGAGCACGCCCGGAGAGGCTCAGCTTATTTTTGGAAGTGCTTTTTCTTGGGTTTTTTTATTTTATTTTTTTTTTTTTTTGGATAAAAGAGGTGCACTTTGGCCCAGAGCCTTAAGCAGGGGTGAGGAGGAGAAGTGCCTGGCCCCAGGGTGGGCTGTCCCTGTCCCTGGGTGGGTGGGAGGAGCAGCTCTGGGATGTCCCACGGGTCCCTCCTGTGTGGCAAAGGCAATAATAATAATAACAACAACAATAATAATAATAATAATAAAGTTTCTTCCTGCTCTTCTTTCAGAGGAAGAGGGTTTCTCCTCTCCTTTCCCTGCCCCACGGGGCCCTGATTGAACACACAACTCTGGGTGGAATTCACATCCCTGGGTGCCCCTCCTGGGGCGTTTTATTGCTGCTGGAGCAGCCTCAGGCCTTGGGGGCCGAGGTGAAGATCCGCAGGCCGTGCATGTGCTTGATCTCCTCGCTCAGGGCCTGCAAGGCAAGCACGGCTCTCAGGGGTGGGTGAGCACCCTCAGCCCCACGGGTTTGGAGCTGCTGCACCCTCAGCCCCACACCCAGAGCTCTGCTGCACCCTCAGCCCCACACCCAGAGCTCTGCTGCACCCTCAGCCCCACACCCAGAGCTCTGCTGCACCTCCAGACTCAGCCCCACAGGTTTGGAGCTGCTGCACCCTCAGCCCCACGGGTTTGGGACCAGACAAAAAGCGTGGCCCTTGTGCAGAGTCACCAAATTAATTCCTGGCTCTGCTCCGCTGGCTCTCTCCCGGTGTTCCACGTGCACAAACCAAACCCTGCAGGGTTTTTACACCAAATCCAACGAGTCTGGGGACCCTGCCCAACACCCCAGCGATGTTCTGCCCCCAGAGGCTGCTCCAGGCTCCCCCAGGAGCTCCGGGAATGTTTGGGCGCTGCTCCCAGGGTGGGGTTTTGGGGTGTCTGGGCAGGGCCTGGAGCTGGATTGATGGGTCCCTCTTTCCCATTCCAGCTGTGGGTGCTGCTCCTGTTCCCTCTCTCCCTTTCCCTCTCTCCTGTTCCCCCTCTCCCCTCTCTCCCTTTCCCTCTCTCCCTTTCCCCCTCTCCCACCCTCAGCCCCCGGAGCCCCCAGACCTGGTTGACCATCTGGTGCTGCTGCACCGTGCGCTTCTCCCGGAACTCCTCTGACTCGATGTGGATTTCGTACATGGCACCGCAGCCTCCTGAGAAATTCATTAGAGTTAATTAAAGCTCGAGCTCCCTCACTCTCCCGACCCTTCTGGGGGTCCCCGCAGCCCCCGGGGGGGCTGGAGACTGAGACCCGGTTTAAACCACGGGGTGGTTCAGGACAACGAGGAGCTTTTCCCGTACCTGAGATGTCCAGCACCTTGATGGCCGATGCCCGCGGGAACTTCTCCCGCAGCAGCCGCGCCAGCCGCGACTCCCCGTCCGTCTGAGAGGAGAAACCGCGCCAGGAGCGGCAGCGCAGCAAGAGCTGGGGGAGAGACGGCCCTGAGAAACCCGGGGGGACCCCAAAAACACACACGGGGATGGGGAGGGACCCCAAAAACACACACGGGGATGGGGAGGGACCCCAAAAACACACACGGGGATGGGGGAGAGACCCCAAAAACACACACGGGGATGGGGGGACCCCAAAAACACACACGGGGATGGGGGGAACCCTAAAACACACACGGGGATGGGATGGTAAGGGAAGGGAAGGGAAGGGAAGGGAAGGGAAAGCTGCCAGCACTGAAGGGGGGCACAAGGAGCCGGGGAAAACCGGGAGACGGTGGGGAAGCGGGGAAAGGAGGGATGGAAACGGGCGCTGCCTTCCCCCGGCACCGGCACAGCGGCTCCCAGGGTGGGGAACTCGCCCCGAGCGGGCCCCGGGGAGGGCTCAGCGGGAAGGACACAGGGACAAGGCCAGACGGACACGGGACTGATGGACACACGGACACGGGACTGACGGACACACGGACCCGGGACTGATGGACACACGGACACGGGACTGCCGGACACGGGACTGCCGGACACACGGACACACAGACCTGGGACTGCCGGACACACAGACACACAGACCCGGGACTGACGGACACGGGACTGCCGGACACACAGACACACAGACCCGGGACTGACGGACACTCACCGGGCCCCGGCCCAGCCCCGCCGCCGCCATTCCGGGGCGCGCGCTGGGGTCACCCCCGGCTCAGCCAATCAGCGCGCGCCGATCGCGGAAGTGGGCGGGGCCAACGCTACGTTTCCTTCCTTTTCCCCCCCCCCTTCCCCCGAGCGCCCCCTGGCGGATCGGAGGACCCCGGATTGACCCCC